CTAGCTCATCAGGAGGATGAGTTGTCAGAGCCCTTGGTAACTGTATACTTGATTAATGTCAGAGCTCACTAATGACTCCGCGAGAAATCTGTTCCCAGATCTGGAAGCAGCCTGAATGCAGTGCTGGTTTTCAAGATTTGCATTTACTCTGATTCAGCTCTTTGAACTCTTTGTTCTCTTTCATGACAGAAATCTCAAGAAGAGACACTTTGCATTTAGGTATTTCATGTAAACATTAATTGTGTGCTTATCTTTTTGCTTAAATAACAGTTTAAAAACCTTACAGCATTGGTAGGCTGTAACTTTACTTATGATCATCAGATGATTTTAAGTTTTGTCCACCACTCCTGACTAAGGGAAAAGGCAAACTTCATTCACAGCAGTCTTGGTCTGGTTTTGGTTTTATTAAGTATTCCATCATATTCTCAATCTAATTGGAAACCTTTAAGCGTAAAGGTGTCTAGCCAGAGGAGTGTACAATGTCCCACATGGAACAGATAATCAGAAACCAAAATATACCTTAAGAGTTTGTGTTTCTCTCTATTTTAGCTTTTGAGTTTCTTTTTTACCCAAAGAGTTTTCATGGACAATGTTTGCATTTTTTCAGGCGAGTCAGAGAACTGAACAGCAGCAACACAAAAAAGTTCCTGGAGGAGAGAAAAAGGGTAACTATAACCAAGTCACTGGGCACTATTTCTGGATATTCTTTTTCATTTCTCTGTGTTGAAAATCCAGCTCTAGTAGATTTTTGGTTTTGCATTGTTGCACATACTAGTAGCATAAAAGATCTAACATCCATGTAAGACAAAGCTATTTTAAATCAACAGAATTACTACTCATTTTTCTGTTTGCTACTTCTATGTATTATGTGCAATATATATAATATATATCTATTAATGTACTAATAGCTTTTGCTAAGATTGGGTGATAATAATAGGCCTTCTGTGATGCTTTGTGCCATCTAAATGGGGTAAAACAGCATATATGTATGTATGTTTCCAGTAAGTGTTTATTTTACTTGTTAATAATGTGTTATATTCCCCTCCATTATTTTCTCTTAATTACAGCTGGCAATGAAGCAGTCAAAGGAAATGGATCAGTTGAAAAAAGTTCAACTTGAGCATTTAGAAGTCTTGGAGAAGCAAAATGAACAGGTATCTTGGTTCAAAGGCTTAAAAGAAAAGCAAACTAGTAAATACAGTAACCAGAGTCAGGCTGAGCAGAATGCTTCTGAATGTAAGTCTTTACCAAAATGGGGAGAATGACCTTGGTCATGGTCATTCACCTACTTGGGGAGCCAAAATGAAGAGGTGAGGTAACTTAAATAATGATTCAGAACCCTATTGGTTTCAGATAAGCATGTGGAAGCTGAACTGCTTAGCCAGAGTGTGTCCTTTCAGCTGTAGAGCCACACTGATGCTCGTTAGCTAGATATGACAGTCATAAAAGGCTCAGCATATCCATTTTAATTACTCTCCAAAATGTACCTCAAGCAAATCTGTTTCCTTCGTTTTGGAACTTGCAGTTCTAGTACTGATTGGAAAAACAGAGGTGAAACATGTACACACAGCATCTCTGAACTCTTAAGAGACAGTGAGTTTGGACTGAATTCTAGAGATGTAGCATGGGGAGTTTTATCTGTACCAGTACACCCTTTCCTAATTAAAATACCGTATTATTTTCTGCTAGTTTATAAGCCCTTTTTTTTAAAAATTGAAAAACTACTTGGCAAAGAAAGGAGAATTCTAATCTTATTTCTGATGGAAACAACACTATGTGCTGAGCAGTTCCCTTGCTGAAAGGTCGAGCCAGCAGAGCTGTAATAATTGCATGGCTTGCAGTATGGCACTTAGAAATGTAAACTGCATGGGGAATATACCCAGTGAGATGAGAGAGAGGGAGAGCATTTAATACCCATTACTTTCAAGGGTTATATACTTAATTTTTTGTTTATTAAATGTTCAGAACTTGAACTCTCTGGAAGACATCATAATACAAATTAAAGCCATCTTACAGAGGGGTAGAGAAGGGAGGAGTACATGCAAATAAAGTATTTTCACAGCCTCAAAAGCTGCAGCCTGAGTAACTTCTACAGCGTGACAGCATGTAGGATCTCAGGTGGCTACTATCACCGAGCCTAGCCACTATGGCTCTGTCCTCTGATGACTCCAGCTCTCTCCTGGATGACAACCAAAAGTTGTATTCTATTCCTCACAGCGTTTCTGTAGATGTTGCCTCTAACATCCAGCATGAATGGATCGGTCAGTCAGTCTGCTCCTGAGCAGCCTCAAAAGGCTGAGAGGGAGGCAGGACCCAGGCAAGGAAATTGGGCTACAGCAGATCTGTATCATCACTGTAGAAAGTGTGATATTTGACAAAAAAATGATGAGCTTAATCCAGAGATAGGTGTTACCAGTTGTTTCTTTCTGTTGGCTTTGGAGAGTTTTGGATCCATTTTAAAAAAAACCCACAAGGACAACATGAGAGAGATTATAGTTGTGTTTAACCACAATGTAATAACCACGTTATGTATAAGGGAGGGAGGGAGGTGGGAATAAATGTCAGCCATTAAAAGCGTCACCTTTTTTAGCAATTAGATCTTTCCCTCACCTGGGTTTACAGCTTCTGCTGCTGAGAGATGGTAACAGCCTATGTGAGCTTGCTCATACACCATTTCAGTGCAGAGAAGTCAGTTTAAATCATCAGTGATTAAACTGAGTAAGCTCGCCCATGTGCTAGTTACCACTTCTGTGTGGCCATGTGGTGGCCTCTGCCACAGGGGTAGTCCTTAACAGCTTTTTAGCTCACTCTAATTTGATCCATCAGAGCATATATTTTCATACATGCTGTTTTGACCATATCCTTTTTGCCCCAAAAGTGCACCAGTGCAAATCCCCAGCTGGCTCTGGTTTCATCGTTACAGACATTGATGTATGAAAGCTAGCTGGATCAGTAGAAAGGTGGTGTTCATTTCAAGAGAATTCCAAAACATTTTTTTCTGATCAAACAAAGCAAGAAAATCTTCATACAAATATACAAAACAGAAAAGTAGAATTATGGGTGGAAACAACCTTTGATACAAACTGTTATGAATTTAAATTTGTTTTGTTTTATGTATGTTTTTCTTGCATTAATTTTTCAATCTCACTTCAGTTTTCATTCATTTAATTTGCTTCTTGTTGTATTACTCAATTTTGACATTATTATTTTTGTACAAACAGCTTTTGAAATCCTGTCATGCAGTGTCTCAAACACAAGGTAGGATGGATGTATAATAAGCAAACTATTATTTCAGTGTGCTTTCCTTCTAAATTAAATCATTATCATTGGAGCCCTCCTTGTAAATGCAACCACTGGGAAGTGCCATTGACATAGTGAACACAATGTTAATCTTGTTTGCACACAGATATTTGAGCGTGACACAATATTAACAGTATTTTGTGCTTTAGCATCTCAAATTCAGATGCATAGGAACAGTGATGTGCAGAGGAAATATTTAGAGATTAGCTTGTACATTAGCTGCTGTTGTTACCGAAAGATCTGCTTAGAGTTCTAAACTGTCTGTGAGAGTGTCTACTGATCTAAGAAAACTACCTTAGTGTCAACACACATATGATTAACTGCTAATGCTGATAGTCAGACAAAGGGTATCCACATATATTAGTGTGTTAAGGAAATAAGTAATTTCATGCTAAGAATAGGAAAATATAGAATAGATGGGTAGAAATAGCTTCCTAGTGTCTAAGGAAGAGAGGCTTCCAGCACTTTAAAATTCACTTCAAATTCCAACACCTTACAAGGTATGGCAATTGCACTTACCATGTGGCTGTGTTGCTGTGGCTTCCTAAACAATCATTACTCACAAGAAATCTCTATTAACCCCTGTCTTACCCAGGGAAATAACTGCATTGGGCTTGATAATCCTGTTGTACAGTATTTCCTGAATTACTTCCTTGAATGGATGACATCTTGCACCACTGACAGTGCCCACTTTAACGACATTTATTTATAGACACATAATGATGAAAAAAAGCATAGTTCTTAGCTTGTCTGAGATCTGATCTTGAAAGCAGAGTCCATTGGCTGCCCCTCACTTCATGAATTCACTGTAGCTTCAACACTGCCTTCCAGAAGGCTCAACTTGCAGTGTTGTGGTTGTGTATTCACGTCAGAATGTGCTGTCTGAACCAGCCTCAGACTAGCACAAATGGGCATCCTGGTCCTATGCTATATGTTAATGTGCTCTTTGAAGCCAAGTTCTCTCTAAGTCAATTCCAAACATAATATATTGGCTTGCAGAGTATTTATGGGACAGACACTGTGCCAGTAGTCACAAGCCTAAGATGTGGAATGTGTGAGTCACTAAGAAACAACCACAGGGTTTTGTTTTATTTGAAGTTTATTTCACACACAGGCAAAATTCAGCCAACATTTCAGAAAAGGTTGTCCATATTAATTTATTTATTATGTTTCCATATTTTCATGTTAAAATTATTTCTTCATTACTTTCAAGCTTTTAACTCATTTAAATGGAGAGTGTTGATTAATTTTTAATCATATTTATGACAGTTGCTTTGCTATTATCATAATTACTTTCCCCCCCAAAGATGATGATGATGATGATGATTAAGAAAGTACAGGGCTAGATTTTTCAAGAAGGCAGGTATGTCACATCTGAATAAATCCCCATTTACCTTGCAAAATCGCCGTTTACCTTTAGATCTACATCTGCCCATTTTCACGTATGCAAATACGTGTTTGCAGATCCCAAACGGGTGACTCCTTAAGTGGGAGCTTTTATAGCAAAGTTCCCTATCTAAGCAACATTTACAACGTTTTTGGGAACATAGTTTATGTAAATCAAGTCCCCTAACCATTATTCTCTGCATGATGGATACAGAGCAGTTACACTAAAGAAAATATTAGCTTGGTTTGTCTCTACCTAAATTTGTCCTGGTGCTCAGGAGTTTGATTGTGAAGATAGATGGGTTAGATTGCCCTCTGGGTCAATTAATTCAGGGTCCTTAGGGTTGTAGATTTAAATAACTTCCCAGATTGAGAGCCTTCAGGGAAAATAAAGAGATTCTGACTCCAAGTTCCTTTAAATGGCAGTTTCAAACCAAAATGCAGTAACAGGGGGAGAAAGTGTGTGTGTGTGTCTAAGAGAAAGGAGGGGAAAGGAAGAGAATTTAAAAAGTGCCCCCTAAGAGGAGATTCCCAGGCCAGTTACCATTTATATACAGTGTTTTAACTTTGCCTGCAAAGCCTGAGGCGTGCAGAGTTCATAGCCAGATCTGGCATATATTCATTGCTGTATTTTGCATAATGCATTTGCATACAGTTTCAGGTGGATTTAGTGTGTGCAGTCCCATGGAGCATATAGCAGTAGTCTAACCCTGAGGTGAAAAACAACCCCTCTGCAATCATAAAGATCTCCAGGCCAGATGAAGATTATTAAAAAAATATATATTTAAAAGTTACTGCTTAAAAAATCCTGTCTACTACAAGGAAGATGTTACACTAATGGATTTTTGTAATTCCTTGTCTTTATGAAAGAAACAAGCCCAGGTCATAGGTGAATTCTCTAAACATTTCAGGGACTAACACCTTGCAGTGCTCTCACAACAGCAGTGAGGCATATATTCCCAAAGACATTTCCTGTCAGAGAAACAGTGGAATCAACATCTGCCTAGTTTTCTTCCCCAAAATTGGAGCTTCTGCATTTTAGCATACACTTCTTTAGAAAGTCAACCCACGAGTCCTAGAATAGGATCAAAAATATTTCCCAAGAATTTGTAGATACAAGGATTGCATTTGATTTTGAAAAACAGTATGACACGGGGCAGATGAGGGATGTAAAAATAATGTTATTACATAGATCTTCAGGGTGTTTTGCCTGTATTTCTCTCAGACACTGTGGTGTAAAATGTGTGCTTCATTTTGAACAAAAGGCTAACGCAATGCTCCGTGCGGTTATTTTGGATTGCAGGCAAAGGAGATGCAGCAGATGGTGAAGCTGGAAGCAGAGATGGATCGCAGGCCAGCAACAGTGGTCTAAAGCCTCAACAAGCAAATTGAAGCTGGAGAATGCATCATCCTTAAAATGAGAGCAAAATTCAAAATAGCATTGCTTGAGGTTGAAAAGTGGGCTTTTTTCTTTGTTTTGTTTTGGGGTTTGGCAGGGGTTTGTTTTCGTTTTTTGCTTTTAATATATAAATGTAGCTATGGACCACCAAGTCTTAAGGTTTGCATTATTTCTTTTTTAACACTGGGCACTGAATTTCCTTTGTTGGATTTCCATAAGAATTTCCTTTGTTCAGATAAACCCTAATCGGAAGCTGAAGACAGTTTTTTAAACCCCATCCTGTATTCCTTTCTGTATCTCCCCAGGCAGTTTGCCTGCATCAGAGTTACAGAATCAGAGCCTCGAAACACAACAGATACTTTTAACATCATCTCAAATGACAACAAAACTGTAGTCATTGTGTTATTTACCATTTCTGTTCCATACATGATATGGTCTGTAGAAGCTCCATGCTGCCAGATCCCAACAAGAGACAACTCATCAGATGCTCTGCACCTGATGTCACTGAGGCAATTGAACTGGATCGTATGCCAAGTCACCGTAATAATCAGGATAGTAAGGAGCTGAGTTTGGGTAATTTTAAATTTCAAGGTATTTTTCAGGCAGCAGAGAGTGGGCAGCTTGGAAAGTAACTGCGTATATTCAAAGTACAATATGTACAAAGTCATCAGCCAAATTCATCAGCTGTAACAGTAACTTGACAGGATATTTCTGCAGCCTAATGATGTCATTCACAAGTGCCATATCAACTCTATCATGTCTGAACGGAGCTGATATCCTGTAAAAGTTACTGCAGTGGATAACCTGAGGGAAATACAATGTATTTGTGCCAAAACTGATCAGTGCTCTAAGGAATTACGTATTAGGCACTTTAAGAAAAGTTTACATCCTACATTGCTTGTATAGAAATTGCATTTTGATCCCGTTGCTGCAGATCCCAGATATTACAGTCCATTGTAACTTAAAGATTGTTTAAATGGCTTTTGGCAAAAAGTTTGTAACTGTGAAAATGTAAAAAGTATTTATACACTTGGGAATCACAACATTGTAGAAAATTACATACATGTTGCCACGTGATAAAATTAGTAAACAGAAATGCTAAAAGTATGTTTGCATGTGATACAAATGCTACTAAGACTGTAATGCCTACTATATGACCACAGTCATGCTACTAGCTGGTAAATACTGAGTAAATGTATGGCACAGAATATTGTTTGATTAATTACAAAGACTTTTAGCATTACAAGGTCTCTCTATATATATGTGTGTATATTAATTACGTGGGCATTCTTGATACTTGTAGTAAAAGAAAAGTACATAACTAATTTAATTTTACACAGAAGTATTTATGCAGATTTTCAGAATTTCATATCAGGAATAACCTTTTTATGTCCATTAGATATAAAAACAATTTGCTAATGTGTTAATTTGCATGTTTCCAGAGCTTGCTGTAGTTATATTGCAAAACAATGCATGTCAGCATTCCGCTTGGAATTTGCCCATGCTGCCAATTCAAAGATGACTGCATGGAGAACTGGTAGTTTAGAACAAATCAGATTCCTGATTTCAATGTACTAAGCACCAATTACTTTGTTGTATATGCTTGTACAAACAAATTCTACATATTCCTATAAACAAAATAAATGAAAAGAGATAATTATGTTATTGTCAGTCCTGAGATGAAACTTTCAACTTCTCTAATAAAAACCTTAAAAATTCAAACCCTTTAGTTTGACTGTAGTGAATTGCAGGGTGATGGTATTATTAACTGCAAATTTTTAGCAAGTTGTATTTCCTGTAAAAATGTGCATAGTGTAAATACATTTCTATCACAGCTTTATTTAGTCAAAGGAGTCTTTTTTATTTTTATTTCTTTAAGCAATAGAAGCATTGTGCTGCGTTGGTCCTCACAGCACTAAAGAGCTACCCCAATGCAGTGTAGCAGCACAGCCTGGAGATGCAGCAACCCATAAATAGTGTAGCAGCACTACCAGGAGATGCAGCAACCTGAGCACAGTGTAGCACTACTTTGAGAATGCAACTGAGACAGAGGTCAGTGTGTATTTAGGTGTTTAAAGCAGGGTTTAAACAAACTTGTGATCCACATTCAGAATTCCCATCCTGATGCCACAACATAGGGAAGCATCTCCTGCTCCTTATGATCCATAATGTTTAAAAAGACAAGTTGTGTACTGGAAGCAGCTCTCCCTGCTCTCTAAGCCTGGCTGGAGTGCTGGATGATGCTGGGAGCAGCAGTTTTCAGAGGATGCTGGGCAGGATCTGGCATCTCAAACAAGGCAGAAATTTTATTTTATTTTTTTTACTTTTAATTAAAAATATTTTCTAAAACACAGCTGGTAGAGAGTGCTGTGAGCTGGCATTTTACACTGTTGCCTAGAGTTGTTTCTAGCCAGTAAGGAGAAGCAAATGTGACAGACCAGATATGGAGGGAACTGGATGGTGAAGCATCTTAGGCTCATTTACAGCCTGGCTGGAAAATACTGCCCTACCTGAAATAACTGGAGGGCTTGGGTTCAGCTCATATCCCTATCTGAGGAAAATCAAACCCACCTGTCTTAATTCCCTGGTGAGTATCCTATCCATCAGGGGGAAAACACAGGGTTTGGAAGGCTAGAAAATACCGTCCACAGCTTCTGTTTGAGGCTGTGCTGGCTGCTCAGCCAGGAGCGAGACATTTATCAAGTTAGAGAGAAAATGGGCTTCTGTGAAACTGTGGAGTGGGAAGCCTCAGCTTCCAGGCTCAGCTTGCAACGCCGATACATATTTCATCCATTGACAATTTAGCATGAAACTCAGGCAGTAATTTGAAATTAAGTGATGGAATTTGTCAGCTAAGTATTTTGAAATACTGTTTAAGTAGTATTTGATTCAAAAATTATTTGAAGTTTGGCCGCTAATGTAATGAGGTGAGAATTTCCATTGGGATGAAATAGGCTAATCAATTTGAACATTGATACTGAGTTCAAGCAGTTTAAAATGTCATTCCCTGCCAGGGTGATGGATTCCACTTCAGTGAAATTTCATCGAGGGGAAGTGGCAGATTCCCCCTCTCTGAATCTCTTCAGATAAATTCAGCTCAGCTGTGATGGGGAGGGTCATGACACCCTGGCCTCACAGGCAGCCTGCTATTCTTTCACTTGGAGTAATTTGGGGGTTGGTCATTAACTCGACTATTTCCAGGTGGGGATCTGTTTAACCCCTGCACTGACTGCTTGCAGCTGAACTGCATCACTAGAGACCCAAAATACCCTTCGGGGGCTGATTTCCTTGCAGAGTTCACATGCTGTAGCCCATGGGCTGCCTGTGAAACCAGCTGCAAGTGGCACACACATTCCAGAGCCAATCAGTTGGAAAACCCTGTTCCTACTGGATGTGCTAGCAGTGGTCCCAGCACTGCAGCCCTGCTGTCACGGTGCTGTGTGCTCCCTTTGAGGAGGCTGGTAAGAGTTATCGCTGTCTGGGAGATGGGGGTAGCAAGGGAGATTCAGATTTCAGAGATACACAGGCAGTCTCCACAGCTGCGGATTAAGGGCAGGTTGCAGGGCTGGTTCCAGGTGAACCAGTCTGTGACCATACATTGGCCCTGGTCACAGCATTTCAGGTCAGCTAATGCTGCACTGGCTTCCTCAGGTGAGACCTTTCTGTTCTGTCCATGTTTTGGGGCTTGCTTGGTGTTAGGATATCTTAGCCCTTTCCCTTTTTTGCCATGGAGAGCAGGATGAACACAGCTCTGCAGGCTGGGAGTGGCAATTGTCACTGGAGCTGAAGGCTTTTTTGTTGTGCTGTGCAGCTGGCGGGTGCCAGCAGAGCACGGCTGTGCCGCGGGGCTGTAGGTCAGGCTTGCCCATGTCTCCAAGGCAGCTGCTCTCTCCCAGCTGCTCCCTGTGGTACCCTCCTGCACAGGCTGGATGCAGAGGCAGCTGCTCAGGATCATGTATTTGGGGGCTCAGAAGATACCTAGAAATCTCAAAAAGCCTGGAAATTAAATTGGGGACTAGAGGAGGAAATAGAGGGTAGTTAAATACTGAGCTCATGAGGGAAGGACCTGAGGAAGCCAGGCACTACAATTGCCACAGAAATCTGTTACAGTCAAAGAGGCTCATATAGAAGATTATTTTTTCCTTTATATAGTTCTCTGAAATTATTATCCACAGTTTAATCCTGTATCACAAATGACACAGGTCTGACTCTATTGCAGGGTGGAGGGGGTGGCAGGAATGACTTATCATGAAACAGGAGAGAGAGGAAATGGTCAGAATGTATTTAAATATGTACAGCAAGCAGTAAAAGGAGTTTCAACAGAATAGTTATAGAAATCAGTATGTTCCTTCAGTATCTGCTTTTATTTTTCAATTTTCCCAACAAGAGCCCCTCTCTGCAGGTGTGTGCCCTGCAGAGAAAGAGGAGCTACCCACAATCAAAACTCACCTTGCTTCACAAAACCCTGGACCGTTTCCTCCAGATGCCTTTTCCTGAACTAGAAATGTGAATTAGTAGCGAATCTGTGTAACACCCGACATTCCAGACAGCCACTGTCCCTTTGGCTTTTTACCAAAAAAAATATGCTCGGTGTAGGGCTCCTGGTCCTTACTGCTCCTGGGACTGGTGTCGCTGTAAATCGTAAATATTCGGATGTGCTCCTGGTCCCGGGGCGAGGGTGGCAGTGCCTTAGGACTCAAACAAAGCTCCTGATGAGAAGGGGGAAAAAATAAAATGTATTTCAACGTCGCATGGCGAAAGGGCACTGCGAAACCCTGGAGCAGTGTGTATCTGGGATGCCTCCAGCCACCGCCTCGCACCCCCGGCAGCTCACCCAGGCGCTCCGGGCCGGGCACACATCTGCTCCTCCCGCAGACCCCTCTGCCCACAGCCCGGGGGTCTAGTCCCGCCCCGGGCTGGGAAGGCAGGCGCCGGTTTGACGAGGAACAGAGGGGCTTGCCCGGCGCGGGGCCCAGCGGGACCGCACACCCGG